CAATGGGGGAGAAGGGGGACATCTGTAATACTTTCAGCAATAAAGATAAATATTTTAATTAAATGTGCATATTCATTTGCACATTTTATGCATGCAGCTAGATCATGTATATAAAGCAGACCTATCAGTCTGTGGCACAACAATGTGGATGTAGTTAACACTTCTGGACTATACACTTAAAAATGGTTAAGATGGTAAATTTTGTTATTTTTTTTTACCAAAAAATAAGTAAATAAAATGAGAAAGTGGTGAGAAAAGGGAAGCGGCAGCCAAGGATCTCAGTGTGCCTGCAGGAAAGCCAGCAGAGAGTCCAGAAAGAGTCGTCCAGCATAAAGCAGTGTACCAGGGGCCTAGGGGCTCGGGCAGCCGCACTGCCCCTCCATGGCCCAGGCAGGCCAGGCACCTAAGAGGACTGCTTTAGTGCCAACACTGTGCCAGGCACTTTTGCATTTTGCATTTAACCTCAGGTGTTACTTTCTCACCTGAGGTTAAGCGACTCACCTGCCTTTACACAGATAAATGGCAGAGCTGGGGTTTGAACTGTTTCACCTTATTCTTACCTAACTTTGAGCAGTGGTTCTCCACATTTTTCATCTTCACATCTTCTTGAGGTCTTCCCTACTTATTTGACTCTAAAGGAGAATTTTCTTTTCTGAAAAAATTTTAAAAAATAATTTCTTGGATATATTTCTGGCTGTTGGAAATGGAGAAAGGGGGGTCTGGGCTAGGTGTTACCACAGATGGGTGTAATAAAGCAACCCTCCTGCTGCTGCTATCTGCTCAACTCCCTGCATCAGCTTCTCAGACATTGAGCTTATTGGATTGTACTCTAGTTAGGTTGTCCTAATAAAGGCCTTAGGAGTCTGATATCATGGAAGTTTCCTTTCTTCTGACAACTCCTATCAGTAATAGCGACTGCTTGGAATTTTGTCTTGAAGGGTTTTAAAGCTGCATCTATCCTGAGTGGAAGAGAGCTCTGTGATTGATCAGCTATGTCTGCCACGGGCATGGAATAGAAGGGGGATATTTGTCATTACTGCCCTCATCTGAGACCACATCTCCGTAGTCATCTCCACTAAGGGGTGAACAAATGTCAGTAATCTTCTGAAGAAGTGGCTCCTCCCTCAGACAGGAAATGGGAGCTTCTTGAGTTTAGGTTTTAGGTAAAAGTGTCAGGTTGAGGGGTACAACAGTATGAGTTCTGCAGGCCGGGTTTCAGCTGGGCAGTGAGGGGCTGGGGGTGGGGGGACATGCTCCCGCCCATTCCAGGAGCTGGCGGTGGTGGGGAGGGG